CAGATATCGCCTTGTGGTAGATAAAAATATAGAAAAAGAAAAAATATAAATAATCCTTAGTACTTAGAGACATGCCCTGTATTCTCTTTAATTTAAAGCTATTGAGAAGTATCCCATTCAATCCGCAATCACACCTGCTGAAAAGGAGAACATGCACCGACACGAGGCCATAAAGACCGTGTTGTGTAAATTTTTTTATGGCGTGTGGCAGCCGATGTGACAGCGGGGCGGGAGTTTTGAGACTGAGAATTATTCCAGGCTATTTTTATGTGTTCTCAGACGCGGCAGAAAGCGTATTCTTCACAGAGTGAAAGGCCACTAAAAGAATAATTTGACACCTGAACGCGGGGTCAAATCGGAGGATCTGCGCATAAATGATTCAATTCAGGGAAGCAGGATAAAGCGGCTGCTGCTTCCATATTGAAGAAAAGCCATATTAATTCAAATGAAGCATACGTAACCTTCAGAGCTCGACGCATCAAGCAGCGATGCAGTTGAAGACGTTGCTGGCTTGCGAAAGAAACCACCACATTATACCGGGGTCAAGTCTGCGGTTTATAGATTGTGATGGTAACTTGCTGTCTATTTGTTTTCCGAATTACCAGCAATAGCGTGGTAATGACGTCATTTACTATCTGACACATTTCGGCAACACAAACTCAAGCAATATTTGTGTGCAGTGGAACAAGTACAATGGCAAACTTGGCGTCTCGAGCTTTCATTTGATCAATCAATTTAACTTTACAGAGATGCATTGACATTTTGTAAAAAACTCGCACATAAGTGCCTGAAAATTTGCAAACATAAAGGAAGAAACCCCGCAGGTCTTGCTGATAATATGTTGAGCATTCGTATGTCGTACTTCCTTATACAGTACGCAATACTGGTCTACTGTTGAGATTACACCGCTGAATGCATGTTGAACAGGCAGATGACGTCACCATTTTTACGAGCATGTCACAGTAAGTAATTACATAATGGTTGGCGTTCATTGGTCTAGATA